ACAGAAGGGACAAAAAGGTGCATCCATAAACATTTTCACAGACAGTCGGGCCGCCTTAAAGGCAATTCAGGCCTACACGTGTGGCTCCGCACTGATCAGAGAGTGTACCAACAACCTGAGAGAACTCGCTAGGGGCAATGATGTTACCCTATGGTGGGTTCCAGGTCACAGCAACATTGAGGGCAATGAGAAGGCCGACAAGCTGGCCAAAGAGGCCCTTCATTGGACCCCAACCTGGATGTGGACTACAAAAAAGCCACCTAAAACAAATAATCAACAACTGAGAGGCTTCAAAGATAGCCTTACGCTGGAAAGAACTTCCAGGTCACAGACAAGCGAAGAGTATGATAACTCCGTCGCAAAACAAAACCAAAGAGGTTTTATGCCTCAGCAAAGGGGATGTAAGAACGATTTCAGGCTGCCTGACCGGCCATGTGCCCCTAAAATACCACCTCTTCCACATTGGACAAGCTGAGGGTCAAACTTGTCGACTATGTAACGACGAGTCAGAAACTGCTGAACATATACTGTGCAATTGCGTCGCCAGAGGCCGTCTAAGGCACAACGGCTTCGGTAAAACTCCCCTGTTACCTACCGACATAAAGGTTCAAGACCTCAGGACAATACTAAGGTTCATTAAGGACCTACATTTGCCCTAAACCTTTGGAGGGCTAAAGTTACAATAGATCTCCTCAGCCCGGCAGCAATAATAATAATAATAAAGGCATTGATCTCGAGTGATTATAAATCATACTTCATCAACATGCAATCTACATTGATTGATTTTCCATCGCAACTGTGGTCCTATGCAAAACATAAAAAACGTTGTAGCAACAGTTTTCCGGCTCGTATGAAACACGATGGCAATTTGGCAGTCGGTGGTCACCAAATATCCGGACTATTCGCCTCTTTCTTTAGTTCGGTAAACTGTAGTTTCCAACCTTGGTTCTCAAACGAGGATGTGGCGCAGACTCTCACTAGAATTGATAATAAGATGAGTTCAGGTCCGGACGGGTTGCCAGGTGTTTTCTTAGCGACATGCGCCTCCGAACTTGCTAAAACAGGCGGCACACTATCTCGGAACGGAATGGATTGGAATGGAATGGAACGGAACGAAATCACCTGGATTGCTTACTGAGCAAATTTTGTAATAAATATGTTTACGATGACTAAAACCTGTCTATTCATTTTAAGGTTATATTTGTAAAAGTTTTGTGTATATTGTTTGATATTACTTAGGTAAAATAAATGAAGAACTTTTAATAAACTTAATCCGTGGTTATCCACATCTTTATTTGGTACGTGATATAAATTATCACAACCAAGAAATGAAAGAAAACGCGTAGGAAGAAATTGTTAGTGAAATTAAAATACCGGGTAAGTACCTAATATTGCATTGTAACGTTATTTATTGTTATAATTTTTTATATAATAATATATATTATTGGAGTTGTCTTCGGCCTCTCTGAATCCGTTCATTTTGCCAAGGAACAACTTGGGCATACTGAAATATTCTGAGAATTTATCTCGAACATTTATTGCATCACGAGTACAATTGCCTCCCATATTTCTAATACGATCTAAACCTTGTGGCACTTCTGTTTGCTGTAGTTCATCAGGTTGCCAAGAACATTTATCATTTCTTAAAAAGTTGTGCAAGCAAGTACCTGCCTAATTATTTTGTCGAGGTGTTCAGGAATAACGTGTAATTTTTTGAAAAATATCCTAAACTTTTTACAAAGTACACCAAAGGCATTTTCGCTACATCGTGTAGCTCTGCTATGTCGGTAATTGTAAATTTTTTTGTTATTATTATTTCGAAGTTGTATTCCAAGATATGGACGCATGAAATTTGTAGTTAGAGGAAAAGCTTCATCCCCTACAATTACATGAGGCATTAAAGTATCACTTCCAGGCAACTTTTTTGGTCCAGGTATATTCAATGTACCACCATTTAAAGGTCTTCCTAGTGCTGAATTTTTGAAAATACCTCCATCGTTGTTCTTACCATAAGCCCCAACATCGATGGTAATAAATCTTAAATCAGCATCGACTAGTGCCATCAGGACAACACTGAATTCTTTTTTATAATTAAAATAAGTTGACCCACTGTTACGTGGTTTTTCTGTCACAACATGTTTTCCATCTAAAGCACCTATACAGTTTGGGTAGTTCCATTTCGTACAAAAATCTTTTCCTATGTTTCGCCAACAATGGAGTGAAGTTTCGACTAAATTTCAGTACAAACTTCATAAACAATGCTTCGTGGTGTTGACTCCCCTAATCTGTATCTAAACGCCAAACTAACAAACGAATCACCATGTCCCAAAAACCTAAAAAATCATTAAATATTATATCCTTTTCAGTTCAAGATTGTAAAAAAAAATGAAATAATTTAAAAGATTGCTATAGAAAGGCAAAAGCTAAAAAGCGGTCTAAAAGTGGCGATTCTGCTGATACTATTACAAAGAAGTGGAAGTAAGAAGATGAAATGGGGTTTCTTCTTCCAAATCTTAAGGAAAGACCACAAAAGTCCAATATAGATGTACCATCAGAAAATACTTTTATAGAACCAAGCCCATTTTGAACCTCAAGTTTGTGAATTTGATGAAACGGCAGTTTTGTCACCTACTTCAGAGACACTCTCAACAACTTCCACGACATCAACCATCTCTAAACCGAAACGGCTTTCAAAACCAGAAGTAAAAACAGCAGATGGATTACAGAGATTTCTCGAAAATAATGAAATAAATTTGCCTGAATTACAAATAGAAGTTAAACATCGAATTTTAATGTTGCTCTGTGAATTCGAACTCAAGGCAATGAAAACATCAAGTTTTGGTGCCAATGTGAATGCCGAAGATTCGAGAGATTCAACAGAACAAATCCACGCTACATATTCAAGTTCTAACCATACCGTAACAGTAGATAATGATAATATTTATACAAATTTGTAAAAAATCAATAAAAACAATTCTTACTTCAAAGTCATTGCCAACTTTTCTTCTGCGCTAATAGCTTTCCGAAATGTCGTATCTTGTTTCTGAATGTCTAACATTTTCAACAATTCGTAGAATTTCTCAGTACACATTCGAAAGTATTTAAAAAATTTTTCCTCGTCTTCTAAAAGGACTGGAAATAGATGATGAAATTTCCCATAATCTTGTCTCTTTAGGTTGATTTCATGAACCCATTTGCACTTTTTCCTGTTTGTCCTCTCGTTTTCTCCTTCTAAAGCTACACACAACGCCACAAACTCTTCATCTGAGGTATCCATTGCAGAACAACAATACACACTAAAACTGAAATAAAGTTAAGGCCTTTTTATACTACCCTATATCTAGTGTAGGCTCGCGATTTCTGAAGTAAGATCCTGCGCATTGCTGTCTTCTTAGAGGGCATGCGCATTCCGTTCCATTCCGTTCCGCGATAGTGTGCCACCTGCCTAAACCGCTCTTCATTATCTTTAGTCGCTCATTGGCTCAATCAGTATTTCCGTTATAGTGGAAAAAAGCGTATGTACTTCCCATCTATAAGAGTGGAGGAAGAAATTGTGTTTCAAATTACCGTTCTATTTCTATTCTTCCTGTTTTATCTAAGGTTTTCGAAAAAATTGTTTATGATAAAATATACCGTTCAATACAACCATTTATTATGCAGCAGCAACATGGTTTTCTTCGTGGCTGATCTGTAGAATCTAATCTCGTGTCTTATATCAATTACATTCAAACTTGTCTGAATGAAAATCATCAAGTCGACGCTGTATACACTGATGTCAGTAAAGTCTTTGACAAGCTACTCTTGACCAAATTACAAAAATTTGACTTGACTGATGGATTATTAATGTGGTTGGTGTCTTATATCTCTGATAGATGCCAGGCTGTAAAAATGAATAATTACATATCTAACTTTATTCCGGTAACTTCGGGAGTGCCTCAGGGTAATCACTTGGGTCCGGTTCTGTTTTTGGCTTATATCAACGATATTTATGAGTGCTTTCACAGTAATTTTTTGCTATATGCCGATGATTGCAAAATATTTTCGAAGATTGAATCTTCTTCTGATTGCGAAAAACTTCAAATGGACCTTAATCTACGGATTTGGTATTTTTGTTTAACCCTAGGATGCATAAACCGGGCCTCTCAGGCCCGGCGAGATTTTAGTTACTCATAATTTTCTTAAAATAATTTCAATCGGCTTGAGCAATTAGATATGCTCTAAACACGTCTTTATTCAATACACACTTGATTCAAAAACATTCAAGTGTAATTAGCAATCGAAAAAAAAAATCGTTTCCATTAGCACCCCGTATTTGCATAAACCGGGCCTCCGAAGCCCGTGTACTACTAGTTACTACTAGTTTCAACTTATTCATTACAGGTTGAGGGTTATTATAATTTGTCAAACACTGCTGCGCGGAAATGTGCGCGTCTGTGCAAGTTAAAACGTGCAACACATCACTAACGTGCAGCTGTTTTTCATTCAGTTAGAATAGAAGTTGGATTGAGTGAACTTGTGAGATACGTGAAAAGAGTGAGATTTGGTTACCCCTGTTATGAAAAAATATTGGTGCAGTGGGCAGCTGAATGTGATGATCTGCCTTCTGAAGAACGTGATGTGTCAGAAGTAGAAAATAATGACACAGAAGATAGAAATTTCGAATTGGTTCCTGACGAGTATTCTGGATCCAGTTCTGATCATGGTGACGATAACTCAGAGGATGTTGTTGATGATATTGGTAAGCCTTCAACGAGCGGTTACATTGCTCCAAGTGGTCTGGTATGGAGTTTGGAACCTCCAGCAAAAAATAAAATTCAACCACATAACATTCTTCGGCGTGCGCCAGGACTAGCAAGGAAACATATGGCTGCAACACCAAAAGAAGCAAGAAATTGTGAACTGTACTAATTTAGAGGACAAACGTGTTTATGGAGCAAAAGGAAAACCGTGGAAAGATGTAACTGTTGATAAATTTCTTACATTCTGTGGTTTACTTATTCATGCGGGAGTTGACAGAAGCTGGGATGTTCCTGCGAGAGAATTATTTTGTGATGAATTTGCCAATCCTGTATACCCAGTCACAATGTCCATATTTCGCTTTGAAGAAATACGAAGATTCGTCAGATTTGTCGACAAGACAACCCGGAATGCGCGTTTGGAAACCGATTAGTCAGCAAAGGTGTCCTACATTTGTGATTTATTCATTCAGCAATGCAAAACCAGGGTCATACCTGATACTAATGTAACTATTGATGAACAACTCGTTGGGTTCAGAGGTAGATGCACATTCGTTCAATATATGCCAAGTAAACCGGCAAAATATGGACTTCAAATATTTTGGATGTGTGAATCTACGTCTGATTATGTTTTGGATGGTTTAGTTTATGTTGGTCGCCAGCCCGGAGAACCTCCACATAAAAATCTGGGGCTTGAAGTAGTACAAGCTCTTGTGCGTGGCATTCATAATTCTGGTCGCAATCTCACGATAGACAATTTCTTCACTAGTGTTCCGCTAGCAACTTATCTTTGGATAAAAATATTACTGTTGTGGGTACACTACGTCAGAATAAAGGTGACATTCCGAAAGAAATGAAAGCCTCAAAAGATCCATGGTAAGTTACGCACGTAAAAAGTACAAATGCGTAATTTTACTAAGCACCATGCACCACGATGCATCTATCAATGACGACGCTAAGAGGAATCCTGAAATCATCTCTCATTATAATAAAACAAAGGGCGGTGTTGACATCATGGATCAAATGGTGTCGACATACACGTGCAAGAGGCAAAGTAAACGATGGCCCATGACATTTTTCTTCAACATCATTGATGTTGCAGCACTCAATGCATATATAGTCTTTACCAAAGAACATCCAAACTACAACATAAGAGTGACTCACAAACGCAGAATGTTGTTGAAAGATTTAGCGAAGGAACTAGTGATACCACATATGCAGAGAAGATCTACTAACCCTAACCTACGGCGTACTGTCCGGGAGTGTATGAGCAGATTTATTGATATATGTGGTCCGTCAGCCGCTCACACAAATGCAACAATTAAGAGAAAAAGATGCTCAGTATGTCCCGCAAGTATTGATCGTAAAAGCACAATGATATGTATTACTTGTAAAAATAATATCTGTAATGAGCATAGTATTAGAATGTGCACTAAATGCTTCTCTAATCCCTAAAAACAATAAACAATAATGTTTTTTTAACAATAATGTTCACTTTCATATTTAACCTCACGTTTGTAACGTACATATGTATAAATAAATAAAGTTTTACTTCAATAACTTTGTTTCTGTTCTGACTACACGTGATTTTATATAACGGGTCTCGAAAAAACGAAGCCCGAATTATGTAAATGACGATATTTTATTGGTTAAGTATCCTAGAAAATAGGTTAAATAAAGTTTGTGTTTTCGTAACATATCTCAAAATTTCATATATCATTCAAAATTAGATACTTTCAATTTGTTTATCTTCAATTTGGTCTATAAATCATTACGTAATTTTAATAAATGCAGTTTAAACGATTTTTTGAATTTTATCAATTTTTGTTAAATATAATTGGCGCTTGCTTAACATTTCTCAAAATTTTAGATATCCATCATATATAATATATACCATCTTAAAATAGATAGTTTTAGCTTTAATTTGGTGTGCAAATCACTACTTAGTTTTAATAAATACCGTCTGAACTACTTTTTGAATTTCATCCACATTTACATGAAAATAGGCTAAATAAAGTTTGTGTTTTCTTAACATATCTCAAAATTTCATACATCCAACGAGTACAGTATCATATATCATTCAAAATTAGATAATTTTAGCTTAAATTTGGTGTATAAATTATTATGTAATTTTAATAAATGCAGTTAAACGATTTTATGTTCTTTTAAGAGATATTTTTAGTAAGACAGTTTGGTTTAAAACAAATGAGCTAAAGGCCGTTATCTGCATCTACATATTACATATTTTTGTGATTTTTGAAAAAAAGTGAAATGGAATGGTACCATAAATTTAATTGTCATTTAATACATATCGAATTCGGAGTTCCTATTTTGAAATTTAGACGTCAAAAAACCTATACCACAAGCGATGGGACATCTGTTTATAAAAAAATCATGTTCATTTGTACAATCGTGCTTTATTATTTCTTTATGCAAATAAATTTTAACAATTAAATTATTAACATTATTTAACAATTATATGTATCTAGATTAAATAATTTATTTTGAAATCAATTTCAAAA